TCGGAAATTGATGACGAAAGCCGTTGCCATCAGTTGACTGTTGAAGACATAGCACTTTTGGTTGACTTATTTTACTTGCCTTTCGAACACGGAGGACAGGGACTACAGTTCCTCAATGAATTCCATTGGCTTAAAGCAAATGGATTTCTCGTTTCTGAATATCGACGCAAAAGGACTACAGATCCTGAGGGACCAGAAGTGTCTGAATGGTACACAAGAGCCACGAAATTCGATGAAATGACTGCATCTGTTGGACGACTGCTAACACGTCTAACGTTCTGCAAAAACCGTTCTCTTCTCTATGACTTATATCCATACGTTTGGGACATCAAAGGAGTCATCTCTCTCTTGAACTCATACGTCAAATGGCTCGGTATGTCATGTCTTATCGCCTTTGAACTCAAGTGAACTGATCTTCAGTTGAATGCAAATCTCTTTCTTTCTGACTCCACTCACTCTGTCCTATATTTAATTATATACTGCTTTTGTTTTTTATGAATTTTGTGAACAAATTGTGTGAAACATATGCTTAGAATTCTGTTGAATACTTAATATCATAGAATGCATTCAATTTGTAGCAATTATAGTCATTAATTGATTGATCCAAACATATGAATGTACCGTATAATCAGTCCACTTCTTAGCACCTATAGTGTTGTATTGAAATAACGGCTCATCTTTTTGCTTCTTTACTATAGCATTGGGAAGAGTGCCGACAAGTGCTTTGATTCAACCAATTGGGTTCATCCCTCCAGCCTTTACATGTATGACACCAACTAATAGCTATTTTTTGCCCAAAACTAAGATATTAGTCTTAGACTCTATGATACCGAATGTGACCATTCATTCCATCTCTTAATTTCTATAATACTTGTCCAGTCTTTCAAATTAGTGCCAGTTTTTGCTTTTTCATGTTTAAATCATTGATTAGATTCACACAAACTTATTGTACTTGACTTTCACTGTTTTGTGTCCACAAGACAGAGACATGATGTCTAGTATATTATGATAAATTTAATTGGTTTTGTGACTATTATAATCTAATATACAGAGTGTAGACTGCAAATGAATTGTCATTATATTCATATTATAATCATATAAACTTTAAATTAATTGAAACAATAATTTCAAAAATGTTTGTTAGACAGAATTGACATGAATTGCCATTTTATTGAATAGGGTTTTCCAAAGGCTATAAGGATGCCTTTCAAAACGGGGAACAGGAACCGTGGGTTTTTAGAGGTGGTCTCACCGGAGAATTACAGGTTTGCACTATTTCTCTACAGTAGTTATTACACAATACTTTGTATATTTACTTGAATGCAAATATAGTCTGATAT